GTGGCTGGGGGTCATGGCGCACCCAGCGCATCAGGGCCTCGAGCCGGCTCTGCTCAGGTTGCACCTGCAGCAGCTCGCTGGCCAGGCAGGCGGCCAGCCGATCCCGTGGCAGCTGTAGGAACTCGTCCTCCCGAGCCACGGCCTCGAAGTTCTCCCGCAGGAAGGCCCAGGCCTTGGTGGCCACCCCGAGCAACCCCTGCTGTTCCCCGAACTCGCAGATGCCCAGGCAGTTGGTGGCGTCCAGCTGCTGCTGGAGGTAGCGGCCACAGACCTTCTGCACAGCTGGGAAGTTCAGGCGAGAGGCGGTACGTGTGAGCGCCTCCACATTGGCCTGCGTGATGGTCAGCCGGCCGGTGTACACGAAGTCCACCAATTGCCCCAACATGGCTGGCTCCACATCCCGCAGCTCCACGCGTGCAGAGAAGCTCTCGGCAAAGTCGCCCACAAACATGGCGTGGAAGTAGGGGCTGCTCAGAGCCAGGAGGCCACGGTGGCAGGGCAGTTCCTGGCCGCCCACCAGCAGTGTGACATCGGCCAGCTTGGGCAGAGAACGCAGCTGCTGCAGGCCATCCAGCATGTCCTGGGCGTGTGAGGCCAACTGGAAGTCCAGGTCGTCCACGTTCCGCACCATGGTGCCCAGCGCCTCCCAAGCCCCTGCAGAAGACAGTGAGGAGGCCAGGGGCATCCGAGTGGCTGCCACGCCCTTGGCCCAGGCCCAGCTCTGTGCAGCAGGTCAAGGGCTTTACTTGCTGTAGGGGGGAAACTGAGGCTCAGAGGAGAGCCCACCCATGGCTGGGCAGGGTGAGACAGCCACGCCTGGGCTCCCTCCACATCTGAGGTGTTCAGCCCAGACCCCAGGGCATGGCGGCCCCTGTGTTGGGACCCCTGCGGCTTCTTCTGCCAGGCCAACACTGCTGGGCAGCCATGAGCAGCATTTCCGGCTTCCTGGCCCACCAGTGGCACTGCCCACCTGTGTGACTGTGCAGATGGCCGTGGGCAAGTCATGCCTCTCTGACTGGGTTCCTCCTCTGATGGAGAGGCGGAGGGTGAAAGGGCCCATGTCCTCTCCTCCCATGGCTCCCTATGTCAGGCCGTGTCCCCAGCCTCAACCTGTGTCAGCCCTGGTTAGTTGAAGGCTGTCACTTCACAGCTGGGGACCGGGTATGGGGACAGGTGTCACTGCCCAAGAGCACCCAGCTGGGAAGTGGAGGAGCCGTGCTCAGTTTGGGGCCAGGCCCCAGCCATGGCTGGTGGCTGCTTCCCCAGGAACTGCAGCTACACAGCCCAGTGGGACAGGGTTTCCGCCAAAAAATCTACTCTAGGCTCCTTCAGGCAGACACACAATCATGTATCTACTTCTGCTCTTTTGTTCAAAGAAAATAGTCCCCCCCAAAAAGAATCTTCAGCGATGTTCGTTGAAGTCACCCAATGGCCAAAAACTGCACAGCAGGGAGGCATCTGTTCACCAGGGGGCGCCACCATGGCGGGGAGCAAGAGGGGCAAACCCCCAGCCAGCACACGGCCCTCACTCCTGGGCCCTCTGTTGTCCTGTCCGCTTCCTGCAGAGCCAGAGAGGATGGAGGAGCCCACCTCAGCCTTCCAGGGGCCAGCCTGGGCTCATGGTGGGGCAGGACGACTCTGTACCCACCCAGTGTCCAGCCTGTGTGCCCCTTGGGATGGCGCTCTGTCTGGGTGAGGGCAGGGTGGCTGCTGGGGATTCTGGGCGAGTGGGTCCATCCTAGCCGCCACCCACACCGCCACCCTCCTTGCATTCCAGGCATTGCTGCTGCACTGTCCTCGGCCAGCTGCGAGGGTGGTGGCGTCCAGCTGGAGTCCCAGCCCCTTCCCGGGGCCTTGGGCGCCTGCTGACACCTGCTGCCCAGGGTGCCAGCATGGAGCGGGGGCTCCCTGTTTCTCAGAGGAGTGACGGAGGTGAGTGAAGGAGGGGCAACTGAGGGTCCAGCACAGCATGTGGGGTCTGGTCGGGGGCCTAGCTGCATCCTGAGGTCCAGCCCCCTCCATCTCCAGCCAGGCCAGTGTGGAAACTGGTCCTTGAGCCCCACCATGCTCAGGCACCGGTCAGGCTGTGGAGGCTCTGCTGAGCCCACTCCTAGGCCACCAGGCCTGGCCCATGCCCCACCCTGCACCCACTCCCAGCCCCAGCCCCAGCCTGGAGCCCCAGGCCTACCTCAAAGATGGCTCAGACCTGAGACGAAACTGCCGGCCACGGTGGGGCAGGCAGCTGCTGGGCTGGTGGCCACGTGGGGATGGGGTATTTTTAGCCTGTGTCTGCATGGGAGGCGGGTGGGGAGGGAAGCACTGGCAGAGGGAGCGAGACAACAGCTCCCTGCCCACCGTGCCCTCCAAGCACCCATCCTGGCCACGCTGTGCTGGGGACGGCAGGGACTCCCATGGCAATTGTGAACTTTCATGCCCACAAGGCCATCAGGGAGGCTGGAGACAGGAACACAGTGTCCCCTTCCTCCTGTGCACGATGGGGACAGTGGGCACTGAGCCAGGCATGGGGGCACAGGGGAGCCTGAGCTGGGGACAGCCACTGAGCCCTGATGTGCAACTTCTCATGATGGGAACCCAGGAGGCCTCAGTGTGTCCAGGGAGAGGGATGTGAACGAACCCAGCTGGTCAGCCACATTCACAGAGCTGGGGTCTGGCAGTGGCAGCAGGGGAGGGTCTGTTGTCAGTAAGGGCCCCACTGAGCAGGCACAGGGACGGAAGCACAGCGCTTCCCGCCCTACGGCAGCCTTGGCTGAGGGTTGCCTCGGTGTCTCCCTCCTGAGTGCCAGGGACAGCTAAGAAATGGGGTCATCTAAAAATACAGCAGTGGCGCCAGCCTCCCAGGCAGTGTCCCTGGTAGTCATGGGGCCCCACATCCAGGCCTCAGCAGGGCTCGTGGGGTGACCAAGGTGGGGTGACCACTGCCACCCTTCCAGCAGGGTCCAGTGCACATGGGGAGCCTCAGCCCTCACTGCCGACTCCTTCCCTCAGCCCTGCAGGCCGAGTGGCCTTTTAGGCCCCCAGGGGAAGGCCAATGCCCTCAAAGGCCCATGGCCCACATGGCCACCCTCCTGGCAGGACGAGGCCATTTCCCTTGGCAGCACTGCAGTCTGAACCCAGGGCTTTTCACTGAGCAGCATCCCCAGTCCTAGTCTTTATTTTGAGACAGGGTTGCACAAGTTACTAGTAGCCCAGGCTGGGCTTGAACTTGTGATCCTCTTGCCTCAGCATGAGGGCCCCGATCCCAGGTCCCTCCCAGCTCTGCCCAGCCTGGTGGCCATGGTGGAGAGGGGACCTTCCTGGATGGATGTCCCGGGTGTCAGGTGTCCAGCAAGCTCCTGGGCACTGGGGCAGAGTGGAGGCGTAGGGTGTGTGACCAACAGGAGGAACATGAAGGGCTGGCACAGCCCCAGGGCATCCAGGGAGCTCTGCGTGGGCCTTGCACCAAGTGCCAAGGATGCAGGACTCCCAGGGCCATGTGGGGACGGGAGAGCAGGTGATGGCCAGGGCTCCATGCAGTCTGGGCTTCTCCCACGGCAGGCAAACGGCTTCTGGAAGGCTTGGCCGGGCTCAGTGACGGCTGTGCGCCCACCATGTCCACTCAGCCTCCTCCCAGTGACACGGAGCTCCGGACCTGGGCTCACTTGTCATCTGCACACAGTGACGCCTCTCCTGCCCCGGGGGAGGGGATGTCCAGGTCCCTCGGTGGGTGTCAGGACGCAGGGCGCCGGCGGCCAAGACTTCCCCAGCAGACTGCGCAGGGTCCTCTCTCACCCAGCAGAGCAGGGCGCCCTGTGGAGGGGCTGAAGGTGCCTGGGGACCCTGGCCGCCTCCTCAGGGCTGCGAGTCCCAGGCAGCAGTTCGCAGTGCCTCTTGCGTGTGAGGTGTATGTGGGCACTGAGTGCTGACCAGGTCACCCCCAGGTCTTCCCTGTGGCCCTGCTGTCCTGGTGTGAAGTTAGACTTCCCCGTTTCTATCTGCTGACTGCAGCTGGTCCGATTGGCCACTGCTCTGTCACTGTGACACTTTCACTGCCTCTCGTTGTGTCGCTCAGCTGCTGCCGCCTAACAAAATGCCCAGGCATGGTGTCTCCCAAGGCATGCCTGGGCACAGGGCTCTGCTCTGGGTTGGGCCCCGGCTGTGGGTGGGAGAGGAGTCCTCCCTGTGTGGCATCTGCTTCCCTGAGGTGTCGAGGGTAACGGCACCGGGTGCTGCCTCCTCTGTCACCAAGTCTGAAGTGACCCCATGGTGCTGACCATACTCTGGGAGCCTGTGCACTGTGACTGCCATAAGCGGGGTCACTGGGGCTCCCGGGGCTCCTCACAGCTTTGTTTTCTCCTTCAAAGGAGGTTTAGAGTCCCTAAAAAACTGGCTGCCTTAAATGTCACACAATGTATGCAGGGCGTCCAGTGTACTGGGCAGTGGTCACGGCCTCTGAGACCGTCTGTTTTCCTTTCCTTCTTTTCTTTCTTTGCTTTTGGTTTTATTTTGGAGACAGGGTCAGACTGTAGCCCAGACTGACCTCAAACTTGCAGCAATCCTCCTGCCTCAGCCTCTCGAGTGCTGGGATCACAGGTGTCACCACCATTTCTGGCCTTTTCTAGTACACCTGCGACCTGCATACCTGTTTGGGCTGGGAGAGGCCCAGACACTTTCTGACTCCCCAGGAAGCTTGGTTTGGATGCCTGGGCAGGTGCTCTGGGTCCTCAGGAAGCAATGCTCCCCTGGACAGCAGACAGGGGCAGCCTCTGAGCAGGCTTTGGTGCAGCTCCACCTGCACCATTGGGGTGAGTCACTTGTGGGTCCTTAGAAGCCAGCATGCCCAGCCCACCACAGCGAGGGAGCTGGAGCCACTGGGGTGTCTGTCTGTAACAGGAATGTGGGTGCAAGTTCAGACCTGCGCCACCCCTGTACCCCATCTGGCACCCAGCTGAACCCAGGACCTTTGAAGCCCCCAGTGGTCTTGTCTGGCCACCCTGGAAACAGGACCAGCAGTGAACAGGCAGGGCACCCAGAGCCAGGCACTGAGCTCTTACCCAACTGCCACCCCTCCTTCCTTGGTCCCTCAGAACACCGCCTGGCAGGGGGTCAGCAGTGGGCCCCAGGAGACGCCAGAGAGCCCGACTCCCAACACACCATGCTGGGGCTCCCCAGACCCAGAGGATCAGGCCTTGGGCACAGCATGGGCTGTGCCAAGTGAGCCAGGGCCCTGAGAGGAGCCTGCTGATGGGGCCAAGGCAGTCTGGGGGGTCTCTAAGCTCACAGGGACCCCTGAAAGGAGCCCCACAAGGGCGTTTTGTCCATTGCCTGGACTGCGAGGGGGTTCAGTGCTCCTCCACTCCCAGCATGCAATGAGAGGCTGCTGTCCTGGTCTGCAGTGGCAGGGTGGGCTTGCATCTGGTGCCCGTCTGGGGCTGGGCACGGCAGGCATAGGGGACCCTCATAGGGGATCAACAAGAGTGCCAGGAGGCCGGGAGAAGCTTTATTGAGCAAACAGGTCCAGGCCCGGCTGCCACAGGGGCAGCACCAAGGCCCAGGACCAGGGCACACACCGCTTCCCTTCCCAGCCCTGCCGTGCCGGCCACCGGTTCACCCAAAGTTCATGTCTCCTTGAGGCCTCTCCCATGGGACTCCAGGCAGAGGTTTCCCACAGAAGACCCTGAAGGTGCACGTCCCTATGCCACCTTTGTTTTGAGAGGTTTGGCTATAGGCACGTGGCCAGTGGAAGATCCCACAACCTGCCCCTGCCCACTGCCCCGGGGGCATCTCAGCCCTCACCCCACAGCACCCTTGCACCTCAGCCAGATGGTGGCCCAGCCTCTGGCTGCCATCAGCAGCCTGTAGAGCCCCAGGATTGGCCCCATCAGTTCTCTGTGCCACCCTTCTGTGGCCTTCCCGGGTCATGTGGAGAAGGGTGCTCTGGGTGACAGCTGGGTGCCCAAGTGGCTACTCTGACATCGTGACCTCTGGGGCTGGCAGCTCTGGCTCCCGGCTCTCGGAGCACCATGGCGAGAGCCTCTCCTCAGGGACTGGGTCCTCCGCAGTACCCCAGGTGTGGTGGCAGGGAGTCTGCGTGGATGGGCCCGGCACCTGGACAGCTGGGAAGGAGGTCTTGGGCTGAGTGGGTCCGACCGGTGTCCCGCACAAGGAGATGGCAGGACAGCACGGGGTGGCCAAGCCCTAGATGCAGTGGGAAGGAACAGGAAGCGGGCGCCCCAGGCCTGGGGCTCCCGGCTCACTGGTGAGGTCTGCAACACCAAGTCCTCTAGAGACCACCCACCCATGCAGAATGGGGCTGGCTGGCCGCATCCCTGGCCTGCAGGAGAGGAAGGGGAGGAGGGAGGACCGCGCCCACAGCCCTGCCCATCTGTTCTGCGCTCACTGCCCGAAGTGGGGCATCTCCGCCTCCCTCTCCTTCCAGAAGGCGAAGCTGCGGTTGATGTAGCCACAGATGTCCTCACTGTTGAAGCCCCCCCACTTGGAGCAGGAACCCGGCCGCTGTGCCACAGGCTCGGGGACAGCGGGGCGTGGCAGGGGCCTGAGTGGGGTCACCCCTGGCTTCCGGCCAGGCTCCGTGTCCCAGGTGGGGCCCTGGCTGGAGCCAAAGAAGCGGGCTTTGATGTCCTCGAAGCCATCGGACCAGGTGCGGTGGCCAGCGGCCACCTCGTCCATCACGGCCTTGTGGAAGGCCCGCACTGCCTCCCAGCCGTGGGTGCCCAGGTTCTCGAAGACCTCGAAGCACAGCAGGTGCCGCATCCTGCGCTCAGCGGGCGGCAGCTCACACTCCAGTAGCTGGAAGTATCCCAGCATGAAGAGGTCCAGGGAGAGGCTGCTATAGGACACGGGCACCCCGTCCACAGGGGGCAGGAACT